ATTCTATATATTGTATTTAACTAATTATATTTTATGTAATATAGTTTTATATTTAGTATTTTAAGTTTAAGTAGAAATAAAATAAGAATATTGGAGGTTGACTGTTTAATTTTTTAGTTGTTTATATTGAGAAAGACAAGACTATGAAACAAAATGGATTATGAGTTCTTTATAGATAATTTACTTGTTTATATTAAAAAAGACATTACTATTTTTTTTTAGCACAGAGTCAATAATTGATAAGTTTAAATTCAAGAAATATCGTCAAACACAACTTTCCTAGAAGACTATTATAAGTTTTTCTTTTTCTATTTTTTTATTTACATGTTATATAAAATTATTATCTTTATGAATCTTTTGATTGTTAATAATTAAGTTCATCATATTAGTTTTAAAAATTTTAACTTTTATTCTTTTTTATCTTTAATCCCCAACAAAAGTTGACTAGCTCCGTCCCTAAGGATTACAACCTTCTCATGGCATTAATATATAAAAGAAAAAACCAAAATTTAAAAGAAATAATTAAAAAGTCATAACTGCACACAAAAGTTAGACTAAGTCCAATAACAAGTATATTTTGTTTCTTTAATTTTGAAATAAAGAAATTAAGTCTATAAAGTAAAAACAAGAAAAGTTTACAAGGGGCCAAGTCTTTGATGATAATTCTAGTGAAGCATTATGGACAATTGCAAAAGACAAGTAGTGAAGGGTACATACAAGGCAAATTGCCATCCTTTTGCAATTTATATGGCAACTTTCCTTACTTGAGTTCAATCATAGGTATTTTGTAGACTATTTGCCAGAAATTCATTGAAAAATTTCTCAATAGCATGGATTAGCTCATCAATTGTGTTAGTATTGAAGAAATTGAATTGCTCTACAAAAACATTTAAATCTAAATTATTTGGTGGTTGATTTAACCACAGGCTTCACTCTCTAATGGGGTTCTCCCCTTTCTTTTATATGTATCGCTTTGCATTGTCTTGTTGGATATACATGTCTCTGTTTCATCACATTGAAACCATTTAGATGGGATTGCTGGTAAACAAGCCTGTCTGATATCATTTGTCACTAATAGAATCAGTTTGGTTGTTTTTAAGGTTAATTATATTTAAGTAATTAGACTTAGTGAGTTTTTTTAAATGATATTAAAATACTTTATATAATACTCAAACACTCAAGTCTAAAAATTTTAAATCAATAAAATAATTGCTGTTTTTCATCATTATCCAAACAATTATATCAATTAATTTTAACTTTTAAATATCATGGTTTCATCTAATTTATAAATTATAATATATAAATAATAATTAATAAGGTTACTGCTTCAACAAATTAATGAATTAATTGACTAATTAAATATTTAGACTTATTAAGTTAATTCAAACCAAGACAATATAGACCTCTTAATTCTTAATTTTTCACCAGTGCCAAAATCATCAAATGTTAAAATAAATTAACATTATACCAATTAATTTAAATACCATGATTATTAATTACCTATTGTTGCAAACTTTAATCAATAATATGAGAATTAGTTATTGATTAAATTTAGTATGTTATTTGTTATTATTTGCATCCAAGCATTTGACTCATTGGTTGGTGCATTATTTCTCTAATTAAAGAATAGGGTTTGAATCCCCCCTCCCCCAATTATAACAAAAAAATATTATGTTATTTGTCAAGTCAAGACAATTTTATTTTCCATTAATGCCAAAAAATGAAAATAGTCAAATGTTAAAACTAGAATAATGTTATATCATTTAATTTTAATTATCATGATATTTTGGATATCTTATTATTTCTAAGTATTAATTTTAGGTCAATTAATTGACCCATAGAATGATATGTTTATATATTCTTATTTAGTTAATATTTTTATGAACGGGAATTGGTATTCTTTTAATAATATCCAGTATTCATTCAATCAGACATTTGTCTATATAATTATATCTAGTGTTAATATTTATATTTATGACCAAATCAAAATAAATAAATAAATATAAGATGTAATTCTTGAATAATTGAAATACTACTAAAAATAGAATGACTAAAAGGATAAAAATAAAAAGCAAACCAAAAAAATACTAATAGTAAGTATATATAGATAAAACTATAGTATCACCCAAATATCTATTAATTATTTCAAATTTCAAACTTTTTCTATTGCATTTTTAGTTTAAATTTGTTAAATTAATCAATTTTATCGATTTAACATTTATCAATTTGCCATCTATTACCAAAAAAAAAAGTTATTTATTGTATTCGAATTTACAAAAATGTCTATAATTTATATGAATTCCAAATGATCCAAAATTTACGGAAATCCACCCAAATCCAAAATAATCCAAACATAAAATTAACCCTAAATCCAAAATAATCTAATTCCGAAACAATTCAACCCGAATTAATCCATCAAATTACCACCTAATAGTACGGAGAACATAGCTTTTATTTTCATATATAGTTAATTAATCAAGTATTACTGTATAGGGTTGGTGCTCAGGTCAAGTAACCGCAAAACAAACAACAATGGAAAAGGGCTGGAGTTGTTCTTGGAAGGATCAAGTAAGTAAACAAGTGGAGAGTAATGAGAGAAAAGGAGAGAAAGAGTGAGTCTATGAAGAATAATTAAGAATAGAAGCCTTTATATATGAAAGTGGTCACTTTCCATAGTTATAAAGGGTATAGAAAAATTAATACTCATCAAACATATGGTAATTCTATATGTTATAACTTGTAAGCACCAAAAAAGAAAAAGAAAAAGAAAATAGCTACACATATATGTTAAAAGGCCATTGTTGATTTTGGTAGAGAGTTAAATAACAACTTACATGCTCACCTTACAAAGGTGCAAATAGGACAACTTAAGTTATCATTTCACAAGTTTATAAAAACAAAAAGTAGTCTGTAGTTTAATCTCTAATCAATCATTGAAATCACATAATAAAAAAAAGCATATAAAAGGAAAAGCTCCTGCTCTACTATTCAGAGATTCTCACTTTCCTTAAAATATCATACTGCATACTAATTTTTTAATCATCAACAGACAACAGGAGCTGAGGAGCATAAATTAATAAAGCCTGGGTATAATCATCATGCTGTTGATCCACACCCAGGCTGCTGAAGTTGAACGACATTGGACCACCCAGCTCGGGCTAGCCATATGGTGCAGGTTCTTCATGTTTAGTTGGAGTGAGACATGAAAAGTTCCAGTGTGTTTCTTGTGCTGCTCGCCTGCTTCTTCCCCAAAGGAAAAAACCTCGGGACATCATAATCAATTTGTGCCCAGACACAAAATAGATTTACATATTAAAGTAGTGATTCTCAGGTGGAAAGTACTACTATATCCGAGTCCATCAAAGGAAATGATCCAAAAAAAAAAAAAACTAAGGAGAAAAAGGGATAATGTTACATGATGTTCTTTAGCTTATCTTTTTAATTCAATGGTGTACTATCAGTGCACTATATATCAAGTAATATTGATTTATAAAGTAAAAGGTATCGAGGTCAAGCTCTATATATATCATTAATATTTGGTTGACGTTAATTTTGAATGCTGGTATTCTCACAAAGTACAAAGTATTATATATTGATCCCAAAGATTTGAACAATTTATCTATGGTGTGCCTGTATACAAGATGGGAAAGTTTAAACTATTATTGAGAGAGTTGCATGAATGGGATGATCATTGTGTAAAAATGGGCGGAGACACAAAGAAGTGGGTGGATAAGAGCTTTGTTAAGCGGCAGGCAAGCCATGTCAAACCAAAGGTGATGTCTTGAAGCAACAAGTCTATCACACCGGAACCCTTAATAAACAATTCCCACCTTTTGTTTTGTTTCGTTTTTTGCCAATTTTAGGGCTTTATTAAAGTAGGGAAGAGTTATTAGGTTAACGCACGATTACCAATGTCCATTGCATCATCCTCAATTAATTCTAAAAACAGAAGAAAATGTAATGTGGGGGCCGGGGGAATCTTTTCCAAGGCAAAAATGTCCCGCCAAAAATCAATTTTGACCTCATTAGGGCTTTAGCAGGGCAAGGGCATTGTGGTGAAGAGGTCGATGTTGGCTGTGTTAATGAAACCAAGACCAATGGGAAGCCTAGCCTACATATTCAATTAACAAAATCGTAAGAAGTGTATCTCTTTGATAATCTTTATGGCACTTTTAATGCATATTGAAATCATTCCAGACCATCGAAACAATACGCAAAGGGCCAAATCCCAATGCGCAACGATGCATGGAATAATGGTGCAGGCACTCCAGTTGGATCCTTATATCTATTTTGAAAACCCTAAAGCCCTAGGGCCACTGCAAACCCCAAACCCATCTCCTCCAAATCGCACATTTTTTTTCTCTTGTTTATAGCTCTATAATTTCTTTTTTGGGTATTGAACACAAATTTCGGTGTTCCCCCCCCAATCCCTCCCCCCCTTTTTACCCTGACTGGTTTGCTGCTTCCCAACTCCCGAGGGTGATAAAGAGCCGTACAATTGGCAAACGTGTGAATACCACACCCCAATCATGACTCCTTATTTAACTGCATACAATCGTTTTTTCACGTCCTCCCGCTTCTTTGAACCTTTTACCGGGGACAAAAAAACAGTTAAGACCAAGCCTGCAAATAGATCGTGGACTGCACCGACCAATAATCCCGCTTTATTATAGCGATAGAAGTTGGTTTTGGACTCGGGTGGCCGCCGGCTTATCTGATGGCTATTGCGCCTACGGGCCAAAGTTTACGCTTTGCAAGTTACTCTCAGGTTCTCTTGAACCAATCCAACAGCGCGTGCGAAAACACACCCGCTAACAAGAAGGTAAATATAATCAAAGCCCAAGCCCATTGGGATGATGAGAGTTTTCCATTTACTATGATCTACTAATAGGCATAATAAGCATATGGTTATACAATTTAAAAACTCACACGAGAAAACAGAAGGTACAAGCAACGCATTTTGGGACAGAGATAAGGCCCGATCAAAGACTAAGCTGCAAATCAATTTCACAAACAAATTCTGTTACTCTCTACTTTCTTCGCAAATGCACAAGATGCCAAGCACATAAACCAATCATGAATGTAAAGAGTAGTTCTATACATATACACAATGTCCACCAGGAATATCCGAATATACAGACAGCTATACTTATTAACCAACGCCCCAAATCTGTACTCGCCACCATGTCGGCTCACATCTGACATACGTACCAGGCTCAGCCAGAGAAAGCATCGTGGTTCACGTTGGCATGCCACCACAAATAGATGCAAAGAACCAAAATGATATTTTAATTAGGTCACCTAATCACAAACAAGGAGCAGCTTCCAACAAGCCAGGTGCTTGAGCTTATCACAGACCAAGGGCAGCTTCAATTTGAAATGAATGCAAAAGGCCATAGATACATAGAAACATGCAATAATCAAAGCGACTCCACAGGGTTGCATGAAATATACAAAATTGGATCGCAATGTAACGGGGATTAGAATAGTACCTTGCCTTTTCCCGCCCAATTTACAGAACTAAGTAAGAACCATGATCCATAAGTAATCCACCTGTCCGTATCACCAGAAAATGACTTTGGGGGTTTTTGTGGACTTCTGTATTCAATCAGTGGTTAGGGTATCATCTTGGTCCCCCATGCTATCCATGTGAAGAAATGAAGCAGCTAGATTACTGCTAATATTATCCTGAGAATTGCCATGCTGGTCCATTTTCCAAAATTTCCGAAGCATCATCAGAGATAACAATAGAAGTAGAACCATTATCTAAACGTTCAGTCATCAGCCTCAACCTTCGGAAAATGTCGCACTTCATAAGCTCAAACTTGTGTTCTGGGGTGTGTCTCTGATTGAACCTTCCTGGAAACTTAGGTCGAGTATTATAGCAATCTCCACAAAGGTCAAAGCCTATTTTCTCCGTACAATCCTTGCATCTGTATCTATCCCCAACTATTGGAGACATCTGCTGGTACAAACTCAAGTATTATTGGCTTACCGCCGATTTTTTTTTAAACTGATAAAACAAAAAGACTAGCAATCTCCTACTTTATTAACTCATTCTATCAGCCAACAGCTGGATGCAAGCTTGACATTCTACTGAGAAATGTAAGAACAACTTCCTGTCTCACTGCAAAGTTAACTACATCTTTCATATCTTGCCAGTATGATGAACTTACTAAATAACATTCAAGCAAAGATTATCGAATAGATAGAAAACGAAGAGAAGTAACTCAGTTAGTTTAGCAATTCAAAGCAATAGAACTCCTCATCTTTATCCATCAGGTCAAGCATAAATGTTACTTGAAAAGTTCTTAACAAAATCCAGCAAAAATTGAATCTTAAAGCACATAGAGAGCCTGGTTATCTTACATTATGATCTCCTAAAGCAATAAAATGCTATCATTACAAATTTACAGTGTCCAGAATGAATCAACAGACATTAACTAATAAGTGTTAGAAAGAGAAGAGAAGACACAGGCCAAAACAAGCATGTACATATGTACTTGCAATCTGCACTTCCACTAGACTAAATACAAATAATTTTAATTAGGTAAAAATATTTAGTCAAAATGTGATGACAGAAAATAAAAGGATGACAGTTTTTAAAACTTCTAGAAAGGGCTATGTTATTTATGGAGATAAAATGAGAAAAAATAGAAAACAGAAGTACGAGCAAGCAAAAAACCAGCTCAATTGAACTTTTAAGGCAACTGAATTGGTGTGACAGCAAAACAGACACGCACACACACTCATTTAGGAGACAGGGACCAAAGTATTTACCCCACAAGCATCACAACCAACTCCTATATGTATATTCGCACCAGGCTGCACTGAGAAAGATAGATGGTCTCTTGAGGGCAACTGGAGAGGTGATAAATCTTGCTTACCAGCCTCCAAGGAACCTGAAAACTTCCAGCCTAGTAATAAGTAGTCTGAAATTGTGCAGGACTCAAAGTTAATGCAACACAATAGTACCACAATCAAACTCTTTTAAGATGGATTTTACCAATATCAGTAATCATATGCTTATTTTTACACTTCAAAAATATGGCAAGAAACATAACAGCAAGAAAGGGGGTGGAACAAACGTTATAATCCACCTAACCACTAAATCAACCAAATCTTAACTTGATGGGCACTCAAATAAGATAAATCAACTGAGCATTGAGACATACATGTGGTTGCTCTCTCATGCTTGGAAGAAACTTGCTTTAGCTGAACAGCATCTCTTCTCAATGCATATTCTTTGGGAAATTTAGCAGCCAAAAACTGATCAAGCATCAAACAGACTTTTGGAAAGCCCCTTGGATGCAAACCTTGACAAACTTGACATCTAAGCATTTCATCAGCAGGGATGATGATGCAAGTTTGACAATAAACTGACAAAGACTAAGATCAGAACAAGTCCATAGATAACAGAAAACTAAAACTTAGTGATGCTAATTGATAAAAACAAAAATTTCAAAAGCATACCATGGCCACAGTTAAGAATAACAGGACGAAAAAGCAATTGCTTGCATGCAGTACAAAGCAAATCCGCAACTGAAACCTGTTCCTTTTCTTTGCCAGCAACAGGTTTTATCTTACTAAGATCTCTATCAGAGTTTTGGTTGGTATGAATTGTGTCATTATCATGAGGCTCTACTTGCCCAGCAGTTTTGCAAAGTTCGTCTTTGCTGGTAGCGTGAGAGTTCAAATACGAGCTAGACTGAAAACACATGGCAGAAGAATGTGCAGGATTTCTGAGGTAATTAAATTCTCCGTCAGCATGTAATTCACAAGCATGACTGTTGAATTCTGGCGAGAAGTAGCCAGCTTTCTTTTCCTCATCTGGAGCAAACCAAGACAACAAGATACAAAGCTTCAGAACATGAGACAAGGTATGGTGAGAATAATCTTGTAACTACCTACAACTGTCCCTTCCTTTTCTTGACAGACGATCGACGACTGGATAGTCAGGTAAATATAAGCAGAGCATTTGAATGCGAGAATTGGGTGACAAATTACTTATATTGAACTAAGGATAGTCTCATGAAATAAATTGTGCTCTTGAAAATTATACTAATAAGCAATACTGGTCGACAGATAAGGGTATGTTGAATTGATACTTGTCTTACTTTGCTTTTGGTGGAAATGAACAATTTCTTACTAGCTTTGGCCGGTAATTAACAATAAGCATGACAACATATTTGGAAGAACATGAAAGAGAAGAGAAGAAGAAACCAAGCTTACCCAGAATTTCGTCTGCCCTTTTCTTATACGTAATGGGAAATAACTTTAACAGCAAGAAGTGAAGCATTTGGCAGATGCCTGGAAAGTGAGAATATGGATTTCTACAAATTGGACAATGGGACTCGTATCGAGAACTCATTGATTTCTTAACGCACCAAAAACATGATATATGACCACAATCTGTAAATCAACAAAAAACAAGTATTAATCGATCAATAAAAGAAAACGAAAAATAATGAAAATTCTAGCAAAATTCTTACGCAGAACAATTGGCTTGTAGAGAAGATCCCTGCGGAACAACCAAATGAGCAAACAGTTTTGAGTATCGACAAGATCGGTAGAAACATTTGGAAAAAGTGGTTTCTGATTACTACTACTTACAAACAGACGCAACAAACGAAATTGTCTGGGATTTCTTCAGAGTTGAGGAGAGCGTCAGGAGATTGATTTTCCATGAGACAAGTTTCTGACGTATCCACTGGATTTCCTTCCACACTGAATTTTGGCGGTTGGCAACCCATCTCCCTTATGCTGTATTTTATATACCACTGGGGCAGGATACATTGGACTGCCCATTTTGGGAATTAACTTTCACCATTTTATTCACATTCTTCAGTACAATGGCTTTCAATGAATTTATATAATTTTTTTTTGTTGAAAAAAAGAAATCCGAATATTTGATTTAATAATTGATACATGATTAATTGAACAAAAAATAAAATTTCTGTACTATGATCTTTTGTTTTTCCAAATTTGGTCTGTGCTTTCGGTAAAACCTTAAACCCTCCGACGCTTTGAAGGGTCGGGATTGGTTTAAAATTGGCTACACAATTTGGCTGGAATTTCATCTGTATTTCACACATCGTCTTGACTGTGACCTGCTACTTACAATCGCACCACCAACTCAATAACATTTTAATAATTGGGAAATCAGTCCTTTTATCAGTAATGGAAAAACATCGAGGTACCTTACGTAGAATACTGACAAAAGGATCTGACCATGGTGTTATGAATAGGAATATTATGCTACCATTCTCACCCTAAGCCCACAAGCTAAACTCACCAAGAATACGCAAAATAAATTACACACTTTATGTATTTATTTATACAGCTACAACTGAAACACAGCTTCCACGCTTCGTAATTACCATTTTGACCTTACTTTCTTCCCCAATTTCCGTGGGACCGGAAGCAGTGCTTTTTGCTCCCAAGGTATTCCATTTTATCACGTTTCTAAGGTTTATTTCCATAGCTTAACAGAGCTGTCATGACTTGCCGATGCAACCATTCCTGTGACAGGCGACTGCGCCAACGCTGAAACTATGTTCTCATGAGCTGGAATTGTCATGCTCTTATTCTCGGCCATGTTCCAGAGCTCCAAGGACTGCACCCATTGGTCAAAAGAGGGAGACATTAGCTAAAGATGAAGCCAGTAAGAAATTCTCTATGCAACAATAAGTATGAAAGCAACTTCAACTTTGTGCATGCTATTCAAATATCATTGGTATCAAGTCCATAAACTTAAGTCATCCAAAACTTGACATAAACTAGAAATGTAATCAATGGGTGAATTTCATACATAAACTAAGGACTGGTAAAAAATATCTAGAGGTAGCTATGTGGATTTGAATCTAGATTAACGTTTGAAAATAAAGCAAAATAAGTTTCCCGTTAGAGACCACTCACTCACTAAGAAAGCTTTCATGTTATGGTCATTACACAACTCTCAAAACAAACCTCCATAAAAAGAAACAGAAACCATTGATAGAGCACAAAGAATTACCGAAATTCCTCCAATCACCAGAAGAGTTGAATAACTTGGATGAAAAACACAAGAGTGGAACTGGTTCCCACCAGAACTGAGTTCTTGAATGCACTCCCCTGAAGCCACTGACCATACTTTTACCAAGCTGTGACTCACAGATGCCAAATAATCTCCATTCGCATCCCAGCATATATAGTTTACCATCTCTGAATGCCCCTGTGGAAAGAAAGGGGAAAGAAGGAAAAAGAGATGTATTACTGTAGCTGTTAATTATGATGAAGCCTTTGTTTTAGATTTCTTTATCACATCTAAGCATTTCAAGAGAGGAAGAAAGTATGATCTTAAACAAGCAATACCTGAAACGATAATGTTTGCCTATCAGATTCAACATCAAAGATAGACACTACTTTATCTGACACTGCAGCTAGCAAATGTCCAATTCTTGGTTGAAATCTCACTTGGGCTGTACCTCCCTGCATCAGGAATTAAAGATAAATAGTGACACAAAAAAACAAAGACTAGATAAATAAACAAAACCTAATGCACCTTAATTGTCTCAAATTTGAAAGATTAGACAGGAAATGTAGAGTTTCTAACCTTGGTCATGCGTGTGCATAAGAATGTATTAAGATTCCAATAGCGAATTTCGTTGTCATTATCACAAAAGCAAAACAGGTCAGTCTTCTTCGGGTGGAAATCAAGGGACATCACAGGTGAAGTGTGGCCATTGTATGCTTGCACACAAAAGCTTGGCTGTAACAATGAACTTGTCAACCAGAGCAGCATAGAAAGAATTCACACACACTTCACAAAGAAAGTCTTTCACAATGCCAGAAAACCAACAGAGTAAAAAGAAGGTATCAGAATAGCAAAAGTCATTATTGAAAATATCTACAAAAAGCCTGAGTTAGATCCATGGTTTAAGCAGAAAAGAGGAAAGATGATTACATTGGCTGCATCCCATAATCGCACAGATTTATCAACAGAAGCTGTTGCCAACTGAGATGAATTTGGCCTAAAGCGTACATCTGTAATAATCAATTTGTGTTCTTCTGGAGTACTCTCTGTTTGCAGGGTATCCATATTCCAAAGAACCACCTAAAGAAGAAAGAAATGCATGTCACCCCAACACCTTTCTTGTAAGTACTTATTATTACATCAACCTCTGGTTCTTATACATAAGCTACCAGTAGAATAAATTAACCAGATAGTGGAGATTCCCAAGCCAGCTTACAAATTCTCTACAAGAACAATAACTTTTCTCTCATCCAACTCCCTTCTCTTTTGGATAAGTTTCTATTAAGTCAACACTATTCGGAAAATTTTTTGCCATAAGGCCTAATCAGGTTCATCCCATATCTATTTACCAAGTATCCTCAATTTTGCGGCATTTTGAGCCCACCCACACATGATAAAGTTCATTCCCATTGCTTTAACACTTAGTGGATTTTCAAAGAATATATGAGGTGAAGGACTCTAGTTCTCATTTGTTATTCACTTGAAGCAAGTTATATTTATAACTTAACACGAAGGGTAAAAAGTTGGAAAATGAAAAGAAGTGTTGCAAGCACCTTCTTGTCATGCCCAGCACTAGCCAGCAACTTCCCATCAGAAGAAAAATGACAGCAAGTAACTTTGCTATTTCTGGTCTGTATACAACCAAACTCAGCAAAAGTAAAGCCTGACATGGAGAATTTGAGGTCAGCATAGAAAAAGCCAAATGCAACAATTGTTGGAAAATAGTGTATAGACAGAAGATATATAAGACTTACCTTTAGCAGACTCCTTTTGGTGCTCACTAGGACTTTGTTTAACAGTTCCATAGATGTCCCTTCCATCACCTCCATCATGTGAAAGTAGTGTCTCCATATTTTCATCCAATGGATCAAACCTGTCTATGTCTTCCTGCATAAATAATGATGCATTAATTTCAGCATTTTTTAACTTGTACAAGAGAACAAGTGTTCAACAAATACATATTGATACAACTATTAGCTCAACTTAACAAATAAGTCTATCAGCTGCATCACTTCACTAGCCAATAAGATTTCATGTCTGAGCTGAAAGGTAAAGTTACCACACGGAGTTTGGTCAAATGATACATCTCATCTCATAGATTGCTAGAAAAAATATAGATGATAACATTGGTGAAGCATGTGAATGCTTCTGTGGGTAAATAAAAATAGATACACTTCCAACGCAGGCTTTAAAAGTCATTTCAAAGTTTGTAGATGGCCTACCAACATATTGGAAGATGATGTAAGACCAGCTGTTGCATCTGCACCATATATCATGCTTTTAGAAACACTATTAACATGCTGCAAACTGGTTGCAGTAGTTATTGCATCACCAGGTGTGTGAGTTGACGGTGGTGAATTTGGTGAAGGGCCAACTGTGTTTCCTGTGCCAGTGCTGTTAGCTGCTCCAGAAGAAGAGTGTTGTTTCCTTTTTCTGTTATTCTGCAACATAATGAAAAGTCATGGAATGTGAATTAGTTTAACTAGAAGTTAAAAAAAGAAAAAATAAGAAAAATCCATTTATAAAAGCATAGTTAATTGGGAGTCATATTGTAGTTGCTAAAAGAATTTTTCTTGTAAAGTAGCTCACAATTTAGCTCATGAATGAGATCCTTCAATTAATGCTCATTGAAGTACAACCTGTAGCACTTGCTGCGACTGCTGCTGCTGCTGTTGCAATTGGTCCTGTTGTTGAGAGGAAGAATGTGACATTTGACCCATCTTCATCTGTTAAGAACCCAGCAAAACTATCAGACACAAGGCATTTGCAAATACTGCATATTAACAGATAAGTACCTCCACAAAACAGCAGAATATAAAGCAATGCCAACAAAGAGAGTTACAAATATCAATGTCTATATAGAATTCGTAAGACACATAACCCAATAATTCAGAGCTGCGTTTAAAGAAAGCATATCAGTCCATACACCAAAATACACTACAAGTTACTGTGCACTTACAAACATGTAGTTCATGCATTCTATCAACAGACTAATAGGGTGCATTCATACATTAATGATACACATTTTATTTATATCTCACATCCCATGTTCTTTCTCTGGTCCACTGTCTCCCCGCTTTCACACACAACTTAGAGATATTGAATATGCTATGATCCTTATTCTATTTAATTTTCTTCTTTAAAAAACAAAAACTGACTTTCAATCATATGACATAGCTTCTCTATCTCTGGAAATAGTGAACCTTGATTTCATTAGTAGCATTCTCATATCAAGAATAAATTTAAACCTTTGGAGAACTTGATTGCACAGGGGAGCATATGGATCCATCGTTTCTACCAGATTGACCATCTTTTGCATTCAAGTTACCCCTAGACAATTGACCAAACCTACGAGGATCAGTGTCCCCAAAGTTTGTTGAATTTCCAAGGTTGCCTTGTAACTGAGCTTGTGCCAACATGTGCTGTTGTTGTGATGCCAAAAGGATTTGATTTTGAGTCTGCAGATTAGGCTTCTGCATTTGTAAACCCAAACTTGGCCGTAACTGATCAATTCCCTGTACGATTTAGCAAAATCCAATTGAGTTTGAAGTACCTATGAACTGCATAAAACGAACAGAACAACAAGGACACAAACAGGTGAGTGAAACTTACAGTTAGAGGCCAACCCCTTAAGGGGAGACCTGAGACACCCTGATTCAGCCCTGAGGGCAGACAGTTGAGGTAAACAGGTTAAAAGCAGTAAAAAGTTGAGAACAATGCTTTAGCAGATCCAAAATATTAAGTAATACTATAAAGGCCCTATGGGAAAAATGAAAATCCAATTACTAGAACATTTTTGTCTCAAATTTGCAGCAATGTTCAACCATCTTAATCTTATGATTCTTATCTTTCTTGTATACCAGACATTGGTTGTAGCATCTTCATCTCAGCTATACTGGTTGTCATATTATTCAGATACTTAGCTTCCCAACATTCAATCCCAGCTTTGCTGATCTAACATTCTGAATTGCAACTAATGTAACCTTTCCGGATTAAATCATTTAGGTAATGTTTATTAAACTTTTCAGAGAAAGAAACTAAAGTGACCTCAATTTCCCCCTGTAAAATCCGGCAATGAATATAACAGGTACGATGCCTTCTTCTGACAATAAGCAAGCTTATAAGAGGAACAGGACAGCCAATTTAAAATCTAGCATCTAATCTATGTTTATCATACTAAAAACTGAAGAAAAAGAAAAAGTAGTATGTCATCAATATAAAAAGATGAAACTACATTGTCAAAATTTCTTTTGCATTAGAAAAGTGAGGTAATGTTACCAGCACCACCAAGTCCAGATTTAGGTTGTAAAATTGCTGGCCCATAGATGGATGAGGGATCCATAGGTAAGCTTTTTTGACTTCCACCCAAATTAACTTCACTTTTGATATCCTATACAAATCCAAATATTGTATAGTTTAAATATAGAGGAATTAATGATAAATGGAAGACTAAGAGAAGAAAAAGAAGAAGATACAAATAACATTAACTATAAATGAATGCAAAGAAGATAATCTGGGCAGTTACGGTGCTCAGCGGTGTTCGTGACTGGATTTGTTGCAAGGCTGCTGACATATTTCCAGGGCTACCTTGTACCAGCTGGCTGTATATACAAAATGTGCCATATAAAATATGAGAGATTCAGTCCAAATTAGAACATAGAGTGGTAAACTAGGAACGAAAGTGCGCAAGAGGATTAAATTAATCATACCCTTGATGATTGGCCTGTGTTTTCAGTAGGGCCATCCTATTGGCATCAATCAGCGCTGATGATGTCTCTGAATCCACAGAATGAGTGTGTTTCACACTTTCTTCATACATTTTCATGGCCAATACACTGGTTGATGGCTGTCCCATCATTCCTTCAGAGTTCATAGCATTTACAGAACCACCGAGAGCAGGATGATTCGAGTCCCTTCGCTGCAACTGCACATTGCGGTGCTGCATTAGTTGCAGCTGCTGCATTTGTAGTTGCTGTTGTTCTCTTGCTTTAATTTGTTGTGCCTGTTTTTCACCAAAAAAAAAAAAACAGAGATGACATAATGAGATAAAGGAACCCAGGTTGAAAGTAAATGCAAGTATAGTTATAACAAAATAGAGGCACCTCTATGTAAGCTGCAGCAGCCTCAGAATGTTTCTCATTTGTCCTTGCAATAAATATGTCCCAAAAGACAGACCACCACTCAAAAAGAAATCCTCCTGGCGCATCAATTGCTGCAGAAACAATTCACATCTTAGGACAAAGCTTACAATACATGGAAATAGCAAATACTCCTATAGATTTAGATGAAAAGATAGAATAGTAACAGAAGAACAAGCATAGACTAAATGGTTTAATTTTTTTTTTTTTGAAAAGCCACTAAATGGTTTAATAAGGCATGCATCATCAAACTATTGTCAAGAACAGAATTAGCTAACAATTCAAACAATTCTGCTTACAGTTTGATATATACTAAACGAATTAGATTGCAAACATTACCTACTGGATCTGTTGCAACCTTTCCTTCAGTCATAAAAGCTTTCGCAGAAGCATGCAACTTTCTTTTCAACAAATAGTCATGAATATAAACATCAAGCCTGTAGCATGAGCCAAAAAACAAATAAATAATAACTACTTGAAGCTACTGAAAGACAGTGAACAAGTTCAAAATTTGTTAATCTAATAATCACTTCAAAAGACAAAAGCTGTAACTATAAATTTTACAACTATTCTTACATCTTATCAGCTTCCCAATTACTCTGCGCCATTTTATTTTTCTGCAAAGAGAAAAAACAAAAACAAGAACTCCATTGCCTTAGATCTTTCCTTAATAGGTACTTTGAAAGAAACACAAATTAAGTAAGATATTAGAAAAGAATTTAAAACATTCAGCTTGCATTTATTCAAACTGAAACTGATTTTTTACATTCTCTTCAAAATAACAGCCAAAAACCTTTTTCTTATCTTTCCCTCAAGCTTTCTCAGCAACCAAACAAACCGAAACAGAAAATTCAATAACGTAATTAACAGTTAAGCTAAGAAATCATTACCAGTGAACTGGATCACTGCTTAAACAACCTTTCAACAAGATCTCCACTTCGCAAACACTAATTCAATCTAAAAAAATTAAAAGAGGCAACTAATTTCGCAAAACCAAAGATCAAAAACAGAATAAAAAAATTTTGAGATCGTTATTTTATGAAAACTGACAGAATTATGCAGAGCTCAAAGTGATCTGTAACTGAAACCATATAGACATATACAAGCTTGAGGAGTTCGTCAATTCTCTGAATTATTTCAGCTGAAGAAAAGAATTAATTTATTTCTTCAAAAAAACTGTGAATGATTCTTTTGAGTGTAACTGAAGTAGAACAGCTCGAACTTTAACAGTAGAGGAGAAAGAGAAAAGAAGAGGTTTTTTTTTTTTTCACAATCAGATATTTAGTGAGAGAAAATATTGTAAATAAAAAGAAAAGCTTAGTCTGAAGAAACTTAACCTCCGGCTCGGATACAGATTCTGTTTCCTTTTATTTTGTGTTTGGTTTGGAATTTGGTTCGACGTGAAAAGTAACCGACCTTTGGTTGCTTCGGGTGGGCCAAGTCGGTCCCGGGGTTGATGCCTGGTTATGTGTCGAGCAAGTTTAGTTGTCAGAGAAGAGGTTTTTTATGGTGCACGCGCGTGTTTGGCAAATGATATAGACTTGAGTAGCGAAGGTGTTAGAGGTTTAATGAGTGGCATTGGGGATGTAAATTTGGGATGGTTTGCCGGGGTTTTTGTGTCATGGGGATGAAGTATGAATTCACGTAACGCTCAAGAGGTGTCGGGATCCCGAGCTACAAGATGGAGGCCACACAATTGCCACGAGTTACAACTATTTTTTTTGCTTTCTATTTTCTAACACAGTCATTTCATGTCTGTCTCATCAATAATGGAGTCAGAGTTTCGTGTTTGGACGCTGGAAATAGGTATAAAATAGTTATATTAAAAATTTAATATTTAATAAAAATATAAAAAATTTAAAACAATTTATATAAAAATTATATAAATAATTTTAATTACATGTTAAATATAAAAATAAAAATATTTTTTTAATAATTCTTAAATGTAGAGTATGGGTATTTTTAATTAAACTGACGATCTTTTACATAATTAAAAATACCTATCATTAAATCAATATCAAATTTTTAAATAATTTTTTTAATAAGAATAATCAATGAAATTTAAAAAAATTCATCAGATATTTTATTACGAGTCTTATTATGAACAAATTTTATAATAAAAAATACATACTTTAATGTTGTAAAAATTGAAAGAGTGAAAACAAACTAAATCAATCTGTGAGTAAAAAAATAAACTTTTGGTATTTTTATTTTCTTCAACATTTAACATTATTCAGAAAGTGTAAATATACTTTTTCAAAACTTAATTATAAAAAATATTAAGCTTCAATAAATTCAATTGATAGCTTAAATATATTTTATAATGTTTAATCAAGTCATCAAGATAATATTTAACATCAAATGATTCGAAATCATTTTGAAGATTCAAAGATATGTAAAAAATGAACGATTTCACTATATTTTTAATAAATTTAAAATTTAATTCTTATAAGAGTGAATCAATAGCAATCAAAAACAAATCATCTGGATAATAATGCTCAATTGTGATATGTTATTAAATTATTGTAAAAATAAAATTTTAAATTTTTAAAAAATAAAAATATATTATAAAAATTTTAAAATTTTTAAAAAATAAAAATATGTTTTAAAATTCTTTAAATTTTTAGAGGGACGGCCACTGGTAGCCCTCTCTCTTCCCCTCTGCACCTCGCCCAACCTTTGTTGGATTCGAAGTAATGCTATATTTAGTTGATGTTTTTTATTTATTTAATAATAATAATAATAATAATGATAATGATAATTATATCATTAGAGAAGACAAGAAAAAAATTTAAAGGACATTTATTTCATTAACGAATGAACATGCAATTTATGCTTTCACATGAATTATTTTTTTAATACATATATGTGTATGGATGAATGATGTAAGTAACAGTTTTGAATATATTTTAATAAAATGTAAAAAATATTTTAAAAAAAGAAAAATAAAGAGTTGTGATTAAAACATTATTTATCAGTTAAGTATTTCACGAATGGTAATAAGACATTAAGTTGAATGTTTTTGAATTTTAATCTTTTTATTATATCTTTAAAATAAAATAAACATTTATTTGATTTTAAGACAGTTGTTTTAATTTACAAGTTACTTTTGATGAATGATTGAAATTAAACTTAGTACATTGCAATAAGATCAAATTTATTGAACTTTATGTGAAATTTACCTTGGTTTTAACGCTTTTCCGAATTTCACTAAATTTGTAGAAAAATTGAAATTTCTAAATCTGGAAACATAATGGTTGCATGGCATGCGTCTTAAATACCAACATTTTAGCATTAAAAAAAGAAAAAACAAATACAGTTTTTTTTTAAAGGACAAAAGAAAAGCACTCGGAAAGCAAACGCAAGATCGCTCGTTCGCGCGCCCTGTACACAGCGTTGACACCTCACGCCGGAGACGAGTTTGTTTTTGCCACGTATGTCCGTCACTGTCTCGAAAACAGTAAAAAACACGTGGCAAAAAAGGAGTGGATGGTAAGTTCTAGAAGGTCATAGAAGACCGGGAATCCAACCTCCAAAGTCGTCGTAGACAATTTCGGGCCCCTCAAACCGAAAAACTATAAAAGCAGAGGTAAATCTACATCCAGTTCCCGGTTTCACGCAACGGGGAAAAAAAAAAAAGGAAAGCCAAGGGATCAAAACTTTCGCGATTTCGCTCTTTCCTCTCAGGTACGTTTCTCTCCCTCTTCGTACAGTTCCATTGCGCAAAAGTTTTGAAATCTCAATCCCCTTTATTGATTGTGTTTTTGGTTGAAATTTGAAGAATTTTGAATGTATTTTTGGTTTTGTTCGATACGATTTTGTTGCGCTTCAGATTTGCGTGTTTGGCAGTGGAGCGGTAAATGTCAACTTCGTTTTCTAATTTCGTGATTTGTAATGAGGGACGTCGTGAGGAATTGACAATTGTTGAGTCAATGAATTATCTTGGGTGAAAAGCTAGGGATTTTAATTTGATATGTATGATTATCTGGATAGTTAGCTATTTTCAGGTTTAAAAATTTGAGTTTTTTTTTTTTTTTTTGGAAAAGTAAATATTGGATATTCTCCATTGTCTAACACGAACGAATGTGCTGAAATCTGGTTAAAAATGCATCAAGTTATGACATGTATGGAAAGCCTTGAGAAAAGCGTGAAATATTTGTCTCTTTTTTGACAGAATATATTGTTTTAATAGGAAAAATTATGTGTACATTGGTCTTATTGGTCTGTTGCGATTTCTGTTTTGACAGGTTGTCTTTGTCAGTTCTATTAGAGGTTGGAATAATACTTTCTAGCAAGAGCTCTTTTATATTGAACTGCAGGGATGGCTGAGGTATGGAATCCTCCTCGAATATTTCAACTCCGTTTAATTGTTTCCTTTGCTCTGTAATATTTGCTTTGCCTATCTGCATCTGTTTCTATAGAGTGCTTTGCGGGGACTTTATTTTATGATAAAGGGTTTATGAAAGTCAATGAACTAATAATTACTTTGGATTGGTGACAGGAGGGTCACAAGGTTACCTTGTATGTGTATGACTTGAGCCAAGGACTAGCTCGGCAGCTTTCAATGACCTTCTTAGGGAAGGTTATTGAGGGAATATGGTAAGCATTTAGTTTGAGGGGGGAAAGATGGTAGTATCTAGATGTGAGAGATTTTCTTTGAAGCCTAACATTTTCTTAAGCATGTTTTTTGTCATGCATCTGACATTTTAGCTCACAAATGGTTATACATTGTATTCCACTTCTGAAAGAAATTGTGTATTCAGGCCTTATAAAACTTGTTATGCATGTACAATGAAGGAAACATAGCAAATTATGTTGTCTTGGTGCACGGAAGTTTTGTTTTATTATAATGAACTGTACACTGCAAAACATACCCCCCACTTCAATAAATGAGTGAATAACTCTACAAATTAAAGGATTTAGTAAATAAACAAATTGAACATCCCTTGGCAGGTACAGATAAGAAGCATATATTGTCACATGTAATCTAGTGAACAACTTAAATCGATAAACTAATTGCTAATTCAGGAAGAAACATACAAATCAAAGGATTTAGTGAATAAACAGATAGATTATCCATCAGCAGGCACAGTTAAGAAGCATTTATTGCTCAGTGTAAACTAATGAACAACTTAAATCAATAAACTGATTGCTAATACAGGAAGAAACATACAAATTAAAGGATTTAGTGAATAAACAGTTAGAACATCCATCAGCAGATACAGTTAAACGGCATATATTGGAAAGTGTCAACTAGTGAACAACTTAAACCAATAAGCTAGTTGCTAATACCGGAAGAAACATATTTCTTGTACTATTTGTCAAATTTTGGAAGAAATTTCTTTTATTATTGTTTGGAGTTGGTAGATAGTTTTGTACTTTCCCAGTGGTTTTTATCTTTTTGAGTCAGGCACTTGTAAGCTACGTCTGATTTTGAATTGTAATCTGTTGCATCTTTCTTTCAATACTGGGATATATTGGGCTTGTTAGTTTTTATGTTGAACTGCATCAATGGATTGAATGTTAGTTTTTTGTTTGAGGTTTTTCTCACCTATGGTATGTTAACATAAGCCAGGCTTGAAAGTTTATTTATCAATGGATGTCCATTCCCCCCTCCCCCCCAACTTTCTTTAATTGAAGTGGTACTTCTCTTTGTCACATAAGATGTTCTACCCCCACTTCCATTGTAATAGAAGGCTTTCACAGATGCACTGCTTGATATGCTCAACTTCTTAGCTTATTCATCTATGTTTGCTTGACAGGCACACTGGAGTTGTGGTTTATGGTAATGAATACTATTTTGGTGGAGGAATCCAGCAGGCTCCTCTGGGGACGACACCATATGGGAAACCGATCAGAGTGATCGATTTAGGTGTCACTCATGTGCCTAAAGATGTCTTTGAGATGTATTTGCAGGAGATTAGTCCCCGTTACACAGCTGAGACCTACAGTTTACTTACTCACAATTGCAACAACTTCAGCAATGAGGTTGCCCAATTTCTAGTGGGTTCTAACATTCCAGACTATATTTTGCAGCTTCCTAATGAAGTTATGAGTAGTCCAATGGGTGCACTTTTAAGTAAGTTATATCTGCCCTAAATTTTTTCTTCAATTTATTGCAGTTCTTTGATGGGTCCAGAGGCATATATGATGCAGAGACAGCTTTTTTAACATTTTTCATTCTAATTGTGGTAGATCATTGTTGATTAGTACTTTTTCTAATGTGAGATTGGCTTAGCTAGTCCTTTCCATCCAATATGATGATTTATGATATTGTTAAGAGAAACTTTCTTCTTATCTTACATGAATAACACTAAAATAGCATGCTTGATGAATGTGCTCCATCGGCTATTTGGCAGAAAGGGGGAAAAACAGCCTCTTTTTTTTTTTTTTCATTTTTTGTGTCCTTTTCTAGATAGAGCGTCTCTTCGGTGACCGGCTGGTTAATTTGAAGTTTTAGGAGCTCTCTTCTTTTTGCTAGAAAAGAGGAATATGTCTGTGTGTCTATAAAAGGTTTCTGTTTCATGCCTATAAAGCTCAGTATGTTGTGTGCTAATATGACAAGTTTGTTTATACAGTGCCCATGATACAGAATTTGGAGACAACTTTGAAGGCTGGTGCTGTTCCTCAAGTTCCTCAATTCAGGCCTTCCGTATCTGCACAGCCATCTCAGCCCTCAACTGTTAAGGTGAACAGTTCCTCTGGTAGTGCTCAGGAAAAGGAGGTTGACAATAAGGTGAGAGCTGAGGTCAAGACATCAGAAAAGACAACAGCAGGGGCACAGGAGAAATCATCAACTAACAGAGCTGCAGCAGACCCTCTTGGGGATGCTAGAGCCAAGGTCCAAGAAGAGATAAGCCGTGAATTTGCTGCAATCATGGCTACTGGAACGTTGCGTGCTAGTGAGGCAGCGGCAGTGGCAACAAGGAAAGTGATGCAGAAATACGGACACTTGAATGTTGCTATGCCGCAGAGTTAGAAACAGGGAAAACAAGAAAAATGATTTTTACAAATCCTGGAATTGGGATGTGGACACTCATTGAAAAAGTGAAATCATTTATCATTGGACTTTTATCTTCATTTTAAAAAGGATTTGAAATTTAACTAATTCAAATCTTTGGAAGGTCTCAAAGACCCAAAATTATCCGCTGGGATTGATGGGATTATTAAGACTATTTACACTGTATTGATGTTTGGAGCAAAGTGAAGGGCATATATGTGTTAGTTACTGCATCCAAAAGCTAGAACCGAGTTGAACAAATAATGCTACTAATAATGAAAGAAAACAAAGCAAATCACATATTTTGTTATATCCATCATAAGATTTAACTTATTAATTGAGATATGATTTTCTGTTAAAAAAAAAATGAGTCTTTATTTTCTTAGTTTAAAAAACCACATATTTTGCCGTGCTAATTGATTTTGATTTTATAATTAAATATTGCACAGCAACTGTGCAAGGTCTAACAATTCTGCGAGGGAATAATTTCCCAACTGTGTGATGATTGTCGTCCATCATTGGCAGGAAATAAAAAATCTCCATAGTCTTGTATTAATGTCTGCTTGAATTTCAACGTGTTTTTTACCTATTTTCCTACTTCAAAACAAGAACATAATTCCTAGCACCATGATGGATTCTCCACGCTGTCTTCCTCTTATAGTCACCAAAGTACACAGTCCAATGAAAAAACCATCAAACAAAGCCCATCAAAGCCAAGGGCCATAATTAATCCCTGATCCTTTTGTATACATTTATTTCAACTTTGCTACTTTGATTAAAAATAAAATATATTCTCAAAAGAATTAACTTACTTGGAACGTGTAGTAACTTTACAGCAGCAGCAACATGTTAGTTAATGGCAACTGTTTCTTGGTTCAGTGATGGGATATGCTCTTCATTAGTTGAACGCACATTTTCATTTTCTAATTCAAGGGTAGCTTCTTTAGACCTGCCAAAAACATCAGAAGGGATGTTGATGCCTGCAAAACCAATCATCACAGCTGCAGCTCCGAGGTAATCCATGACATGCGGAGCATTGCCTATTATCGTATCGACTACCGCTGCTAATGGCACTTGAATAGTCAGACCAGCCGTTGCTACTGTTGTTGTGGTGAGAAGAACAGCTTTTGCCCATAAATAATCACTCAGCACATTGTCCAACAAACCTATGTATGATGAAGGAATAAAAGAATAAGACACACAAGTGGCGTCGAAGTAAAGACAAACAATAAATCCAGTGCTTGTGGTGGAAAGATAGGATTCATCTTCTAGGAGAAAGCATTGCCTGACATAGTGTTCTCTGTACAAAAGATCGACATCATCTAGTCGATGACATTCTTCTATGAGTCTCCTTCGTGAAGGAAATTTCCATTGACTCTTTTATTTTAACTGTAAAAAATTAAAATAGACAGCCTTGCTGAGGTGGCAACATATTATAGTTGCTCCAAACACTATCAGTGATACCTAATTTTCTCCTACATGACGGTGATATTAAAACGTAAATAGTATCACTTTCTTTTTCTTCTTCATTTAATGAAACCTAATCTCGAGAATGAATATTCTCTAGATAAAATCATGTTGACTAAATGTTAAACTTCTTCCCCATCAAGTAAATGAAATGATATAACTCCAATCCAACAAACTGCCACTTATATCTATTGCATAAATGCTGTTGTGTGCAACATCTGCAGTTTCCTCTGATGTGCAGTCATGAATGCTATGTATAGATCACAACATTATGTCAAAGTGTGGATATGGCAAACAACAGTGTTTATGCTTCTCTTTCCAATTATTGCTATTGTATATGATTAAAGACTTGAAGCAACAATTCACTTCAAGTATGTGCAGGAAGAGTCACTTTCCTTTGTTTAGAGATTATCCAACTTATTTCAAAATGGACTTAGGAAAAATTCCTTTCTATCTCCAACATTATTCATGCATTACAGCATTTTTGTGACAATTAGCATCATAGTGTAACTGACAATGAAGACTTCATAGACACAAAACTATAGTATGAACTATTGAAGCCATCATCCACAGATTAGAGGGAAGAGTACTATAGGCAGATTGCTAGATTCTAAACAATCATGCTGCTGGCTATACATTTGATTGGGCAAAGAGTTTCATATCCAATCATTTTCCACACAATTCTGCCATTTACGCACAGCTTTTCATGCAATCAATGCCCCAGGATCCATCAACTCCCACATAATTTTTACCCTAGATCTGATTGTTCTTTAGAGTGTGTGTGTGTGTTTTAAACACTTATCAAAACAGAATATACTTACGACGGATCCCATAAAATTGTCAAGATCAAATTCAAATGATACATTAAATAGATCAGAACAACAGGCAATGTAAAAGAAATGGTAACATACTTCATCTGATGAATTAAAAATTACACGATAACCATGATGGCCAAGTTAAGCCACTTAATTGCTAGTCCTGAAGCTAAATAACAACGTTCTCCTTCTTAATAGCAGTTTGGAAGGGCCAAATCCCTAAAAGGGTTTTCTGAAAAGGAAGGATAATGACAAAATAAATGCTTATTAGAATCATCATGGCTTTCCCAGCCACTGATTTCTACTATATTGGAATTGGGTGTCACTAGTGACACAGCAAATTGTTAAGACACAATCATTCATAAGACTGAATTACATTCTAGTTAATAAACACTACCCTAGAATGTCACTGATATATGCCGATACATGAAGTCATGAACCTTTCATTTTTTAAAAGCCTGACATATTAGGTAACTATAGACAATTATCTCATCATTTCAAGACAAGAAAGCAACTGAAAGTCAAGAAAAATTATATGAATTCAATACAAACCTTTTCCCATAATCAGGCCAAACTGCTTCCAGGATAGTGTGTTGAAAGGCTCTAGCTTGCTGACATTGAGTATAAGAGCGAAAGGAAGGAAAATGAATACGTTGAAAAGCCCTAGAAATCCCAGGAATTGTGCCATGCTGGCACGACCATTCTTTTCATCATCATCAGGCAACTTTTTACGAATAAGTGTAACATAGACAGCATATAGAGCAGCCGAGAGAAGAGCCAGAATGTCTCCAAGAACAGGGTTTGAAACAATTACACTTAAATTCTTGGAGTTACTTGAGTCTCCCAGGCTGACAATAATAGTTCCTGCCATGCAAAGAAGGACACTTACAAGCTTTACCCAAGTGAACTTCTCACCCAAAAATGCTAAAGAGACCAAAAATGTGAAAAGGCTGGAGGCACTGCTTAAGATGGTATTAGACTGCATACACCAAAGGAAAATAACTAATAAGATCAAAATGATGAGACATTTGTAAACCTGAACTAAAGTGATCACTGCAAAAACACGTTTGCTTACCGTAACAGTAGTATACTTTAATGAGAGATTAAAAGTCAGTTGAGCCAGAAACCAAAATGGGCATATTAACAGGCTAACTTTAGCCACTCTAGTGCGTGTCCATCGCCCTTTTGCATCCAAGCCTATGTTAGCCACTTCATCAACTTCACCTTCACCAGGCAAAGTCTTAGTAAGCTCATTAGAACCATAATCCAACTGTGAACCACCCCTTTTCTCATGACTGATTTCTCCCTCTTCCGCAAGTGAGAATTGATTCGATCCATCTGCTTTTGTACCCGAAACACCCTCTCCAAGAAGGATAGCTTTCTCTGATTCTCCCAACTCTCGTAAAGCACAGTTCTTTTTGTTTCTCCAGAACATTAAACTTCCATAAGTATCTTCTATATAACGCCCGATTTCAACTAAGGGAATATAAACAATGAATAATGAATTGCAAATGTATGTTACAAGAAATGGTGAAACACCTGCATCAACAACAGACTGTACCACAAAACTAGCAGCTATCCAGATAGCTGCAACAGCAAATATGTATAGCAAACCTAAACCCCATCTCCAAAGTTTACTTGTCATTTCTTTTGAAGCCATTACTGAATCAAACTAACTCTCAAAATCTCAATCTTTCCAGAAAGATCAAAACAGTACACACCAAACTTCAAATTAAGAATCCCCACAAAGGAGAATGTCTTTTAAATGGAATATCCAAATACCAAAGTCATTACTCACGTCAAAAAATTTGAAGTTCGCCTAAAACATAGACAAGAAAAGAAAAAATAAGCAAACAGTGGAAAAATTGCAACAGAATGAATCCTAAGGTCAGCCTCATGTTAAGGAAAGCAAATTAATAGAGATTCTACAGAGAACCCATTTGCAAGTTCATCAAATAAGGGTAAGTTATTATCGTATCACGCTAGAATATGAGAGATACAGATTAGAACCATACCAATCGTAATCAATCAAAAAAACGAAAAAAAAATTGAAAAACTTTTTAAGTGCAGAACTATGAGAACCATAAGATATAGAAATTTAGCGAATAAATAAATTACCTTCCCCTGAGAATGGACTTGAAATTGAATGTTTATATTGTCACTCACTATCTGAAGGAATTTCTTTTCTTAGTTTGGTTCCGTTTCTGAAAATTTTCTGAGGGAAAGGCAGGTTGTACTGGGCCAAATCTGTAGGCTAGGGCCCAGCTTGTTAGCTCTTTGTGGCCCATATAGATTTTGTCCATTTGTTGGTCTTTGGTTGGTTTGTAGATGTTGGAAACAAATGCTAAAGAGTGAGGCGTGGCCTGCCCCGGTCAACATAATAATTTTCAACGCTACCGAACGATTTGATCACGAAGAAACATTACAATTGATAATAATCACGCAATGAGCAGAAATAATATAAAACATACAGATTTTAGTATTCGACTCATTAGTTAGTATATGATTTTTTTATTTAAAAAATAAAATTCGAACCCTTTTCTCTTAATTTCAAAAAAAAAAACATAAAATACCTTGCAAACAGCCAAAAATAAATTGAAACAATTTCTCCTATTAGGAATGATAGTAAATAAACAAGAAATAATTTGTATTGTATGTACATCCAATTGCCTTCTAACAAGCTCTTCAACTTATTTTGAGCCTCGTTAGAGGGATTGCAGCCTTTAAGCCTTAGTCGCTGGAGAAGAGGTGACTTAATAACTATTAAAGTACCCATTGTAAATGTAGCCACCAAACTGCTCAACTTGCTTACATTCTGGTAAGTATGAAGGTCTATGATCTTGAGACATTTCAACTGCAACACATTTTTGGTAGAGAGCAACTTGGTAATCATCAGAATTTGCAACCAGAAGATGCCTTCCAAGCATTAAAGTAAGAAATACCATTGTTCCACAGCAATTGTTAACACTGCTTTCAGTAGTCAAGCAAGGTCTACCAGCAAAACGCTGTCCAATAAGAAGATAAAAGTTCTTTCACTTTTAAGGTCATGCAAGCACTTATTTGTACTTAAGATAAGTTAAGTGGGAAAAGACATGGTGATTTAGAGCAGATTAAGGATGATTTGAATGAAATCAATAAACTTGATTTTAGTAATTATTTCTTTGTTTTAGTTCTTTGTTTAATTTACCATAATATAGTATCATTTCTTTTTCTCAATTTATTTCTTTGTTTAAAGATTTTACTATATTTGTTATTTTATTTTTTAGATTTGTCAAAGTTGAAGCCCATAAATGAGACTAAGGCTGGGTCTGAGTCTGAATATGACTCTGAGTAAGATGTTATTCTTATATGCTATTTTCACTTTTCAGGTAATAATATCATTACGTGTTATACATATTTACATTTATAATTTATTTAGATTATCTTAGCACAATCATTTATACTAATTATTTTATATTTTAACATTTTTAGGAATATATTTTGAAAAATTGTTGAATTGAAGTTGAAGGTTCAAGGTTCATGAAATCTACGTTTTAAAATTTAGTAATTTATGTTATGTAACATCTACTTTTTATGAGTACTTGAGCATTTGGCTCATTAGTTAGTGCATTATCCCCTTGCCAAAAGAGTAGAGTTCAAATCTCCCTTCCCTCAATTATATATATAAAAAAAACTTTTAGTTTTTATGGATTTGTAATATGTACAATTTATTAATTTATGTTGTAATTTTTGCATTTAGATTAATTGCATTGCATAAATTACTAAATTGCATTGCATATTATGTACAATTTATGAAAACATTTTTCTCTAATTTTTTCCATTTTATTTAATATTTTGTTAGCCAATTTAATATATGGTGTTTATTGCTACCTTAAAAAAATAAATTATTGATTTTGTATTCTTATAAATAAATAATATAGTGTTTATTGTTTTTTAATTAAAAAATTATATAATGCTTAATTATATAATTGAAAATAAATCATATGAGTTGAACTATTTATTTAAACAATATGGGTTTGATTTCAATTAGAAATATGAGCTTGACACAAATTTAAGCCCAAGCTTAACACAAATTTTTAACTTTTGTCAACCTTGAGTCATTTAAGCCCAAGCACACCTTAAATTTCAATCAACAGAAATTGAGGTCAGTTTTGGTTGAGTGATTTTTCCTTATGACCAGATGGATTCAGTTGATCATAAAGGACTGTCGATTTCATCGATTTTGATTTCTCCTAAAATCAAAACCGACCGATGCATTCCTCTAAATATATACATTAAAGTTCTTTCAATAACTATTCTTGAGTAATCGATTCTTCTTAGTCTTACAAATAGGTGATGTTTGGTATTTTGCAGGGAATGTGATTGTTGGGAATGTAATTGCTAGGTATGTGATTATTGAGAAAATAATTTTGCAGTGTTTGGTATAGAATGAAAAAGTTGTTGGTCCCATTTGAGTGCTAGAAGGAGGTGAATAGCACTAAATATTTTTTGCTCAGCCCTTTAGAGATTGAAAAGCACTTAATCAACTAGATGAAGGGAAGGACTAGAACTTGTTAAAATTATAAGACGCCGAGAAAGGAAGGGTAAAGAGAAGTGGACAATGAAAGAGTATTTACAGTGGTTCGGTCCCCTTACCCTACATCCAGTACCTTGATCTCCAAAACAAGGATTTTTAACCCAACTTCACTAAACCAGTAGAATTAACAACTTTCACCAAGCTTTTACAAGGTGAGCTTCTAACCCAAGCTCTAATCCCTTACAACAAGCTTTAGAGTGATTCCTATACTCTAATTTTCAAAAAAAAAAGAAAAGAAAAAGAAGTACAATTAAGTACCTTTACAAGTCTGGCCAAATTACAATCAAGTTGAAACACTTTTTCTAGATATGAAATGAAAGACAAGTGGTTTTTTGTAAAAAAAATATTTGGCTTTTTGCTCAAAATAGCTTTTCTCTTCTTAATTCTTTAACTCTCGTTTTTTCTTTGACTATTGGAACTTCCTTTTATACCTAGGGAGTCAGATTTTTCTATTGATGACAATTTCTAGATGTTAGAAACAACTTTGATGCATTTCTACCTGTTATTTTATCCTTTAATGTTTAAATTCAAAAAGAGAGATAAACTTCAGTTAACCTATTATACGTAGCTCTAACTGATTACAGCTTTTCTTCCTTGCACTGTTCTACTGTTGTGTTCTCTACTCTAACAGATTACATGAGGCTTTAATTGAGTAAGAGTTCTCTATCTTGAGACTTCTCTTATTCAACAAACTTCCTCTAACTAGTTATGGTAGGCTTTAACTAATTACAAACTTTTTGTTTTCATTTCTCTACACAATGGTCTTTCTCTAATTGAGCAGTACTTCCTTTAACAGATTGAGGCTTTACTTCCTTTAGCCATAATTGGTTAGAATTAGTTTTAATCGACTAAAAGATTTTCGAATTTTGAACTTCTCCATTTTAGCTCTCTTCAACGGTCAACAATATTTTCAAAGTTGTTTTTGGCTCTTGAAGATACTAGGACCTTATGTTCTAACCAATTAACATATTTCTATTTTGCTTTAACTTATCACACAGCCATGCCTTAGCTGATTAAGGTCTCTTAATAATCAGTTATTAAGGTTTTATTTTTGTTCATTACTTGCTCTTTCCCTCTTAACTGATTAACTCTTCATTAAACTTAACAAGCTCCTTAACTTGTTTTTAATTAACAACTTTGTTAGGGGTATAAAATTAAATCTTGCACACTTAAATAGTGAAATTAGACATTAATGAATGAGGAATGTTTTGTTATCATAAAAAACATATGGAGTCAACAAAAGTGATGATTACAAGGAATTTAATTACTGAAAAAATTACATTATAGTGTTTGATTTGAAAGCACTTTACTGAAAATGTAGTATAAATTTACAAAATTACCTTTCTATATAAAAATATAAATTTGAATAAATTTACATTCTTCTTAATATAAATTTTTAACTTTTCAATTTATTTCTTAAAATAATAAATAATAGCATGAAAAGAATGATATTAAAATATTTAAAATTGTTATGAACAAATATGTGAATGTCCATTATATTATGACCTAAGAAATGCAGACCATATCAAATAGCCCAATAGGCAAGATACAAGAAATGTAATATGATTTGAACTCTTAGATAGAGTTAGATTAGGACTATGATTCAAGGGGTTGTTGGCCTATAAATAAGTCTATCACTTTATTTGTGAATACATACTTGAATAAGATCTTCTTACTCTCTCTAAATGCATTCTTTTCACTTTCTCTTATATTTCTCTTATAGTTGTTCCTTTCAGATTTATTTTATAACACATTATCAGCATAATTCTCTAATCTCTCAAGTTTTAAAATTATTATGTTTTCATCATTTTCAAGCTTTAAAAGGATTTCAATGATTTGGCTTTGATTTCTTTTGATTTCTAAGTAGAAAATCAAGTAAGCGACTTGATATCTCTTTAGCATTTTCATTCCCGAAAAATCAACCTTAATATGAATTTTACTATCATGTTGTATATATTATATTTTGTCCCTTGATTGGAAAGTGAATTTGCTATTATCTAGCTATTAATGAAAAATCATAATGTCCATTCCCTGAAGTGAATGTGACAAATGAGCTACTAATAAAAAAATTATAAATTTGTTCATTCTTTGAAGTGAATGCGACATTATTTAATAATTATGATCATAAACATGAATCCATCTATTCCTTGAAGTGAATGCAGCATTATTTAATAATTATGATCCTGATATGGAAGAGGTCGTTATAATAATTTACACTATCATTATTTTAATTCTAAGGATAATTTTACTATCAGAATTTAAGAATAATTTTATTACCAGAAGTGGATGGATAATTTTATTATCAGAATCTAAGAATAATTTTACTATAAGAAGTGGATGGGTAATTTTACTATCAGAATCTGAGGATAATTTTACTACTAGAAGCGGATAAATAATTTAACCATCAAAAGTAAATGGATGCCTTAACCTATTAAAGAAAATAGATAATCTACCAGAAGTGGATAACCCATCATATGTAAATGGGACATTTTAAAAAATAACCCTTAAAAATAAGATGTTTTCAAAAATAGCCTCATTTATAATTTTAACTATTTTTAACCAAATTGGATAAAATTACCCTTAATGAAATTACACGCGAAGATGTTACACACTGTGTACAGAAAC